CCCCCCTCAAAACAGGGCGCGTTCCCCAGCGGAGGAGTCGTTACAACGCACCTGTATGCGCTCCTGCTCGCTCAGCGCGACGCGCTCGCCGGTGGATCCGAGCACGACGATGCCGGCGCCACCAGCCGCTGCAATCCACTTCACGTGCGTGCTGAAGGTGTCCAGATCGAGCGACTCGTGCGCGTCCGCGCGGAAGAAGGTCAGGACAGGCGTGTAGACGCCACGCCGGAGCTGCTTGGTCTCTGCTGCTGCTGCTGCTGTTCGTGTTGATAGCGGTTCGCTGCTGCTCACCGCCGCCGTCGCTGTCCGCTTGTCATCCACGGCGTGGTCCATCGGCGCTGCGATCGGTGCCATGGTTTGGTGGTGCAGAAGACGGGTGTGCCTTGAGTCAGAAAAGGTATCACCTGCTGGTGCTGGTGCTGGCGCTGGTGCTGGTGCTGTTGCTGACGACGACGACGAAGCGTTGCTGCTTAGAACAAGCTGTATATATTATATTATATACATTGGTGGATACATAGATGGATAAAGTATATGAAGTATTTGGGACTAGTCGGAGACTGTTCGGATTCGGATCCGGATCAGGGATCGGGACTTCGGACCGATGCGTGTGGCTGACGCGTGCATGCACTGCGCGGTGGCATGGGTAAATTGGCTAAGAAATCGCTGGAAGAGAATTCACGTTGGTACTTTTCTCTTTCTCTTGAAACGAAGGGGATTCTCACGTTTCTCGGGAGCCATCCCCGTGGGGCTCCTTCCACCCACCGAATATGTGGGAACGCTGCCGAGTGGAAAGAGCCATCCGTGGGGAGTTATGATGCCACTGCTGGCAGCCGATCATCGCTGGGGGGGAGGCGGCCGTATATATATATATATATATATATACAACGGAGCCCTTGTGCTCCCTGCCCAATAGCGACCGATTCAAGGAGGGCAAGCGGGCCGGGCCCAAGCAAGAAAGAAAGAAGTAGCTGCACACATACCCACCCGAAAGAGCCAGCCACACTCAAACACCATGAAGCTGCGCACGCGCTTTGGCCGTGTAGAAGACACTTCGCCCTACCCGGCGCCCGAAGAGGTGTATAACTGGCGAATATGGGCCATGATGCTTTCCGCCTCCATGGCCGCTGGCATGTTTGGTGCGTCTCGCCCGCCTCGCTACCTGCCTGGCCATTTTTCGTTTTGGGACAGCTTTGCTTGCTGTTCAAATGACGCTGACGCTGCTGCTGCTACTGCTGCCGCCGCGTAAACTATAGGCTACGACGGCGCATTCATCGGCTCGACGCTCAAGCTGCCTGCCTTTAAAGCCGCCTTTGGGCTCAATGACGAGCGCGGTGCGAAGGTGCTCGCCGGCCTCTCGTCGCACATCGTCTCGACCTTCCAGGCGGGCTGCTTCGTCGGCACGCTGACAACGTACCCGCTCGTCGAGCGCATCGGCATCAGGAAATGCCTCTTCCTCGCCAGCTTGATTTTCAACCTCGGCGTCGTCCTGCAGATGGCCGGCAAGGGGAGCCTCGCGATGATCTACGCCGGCAGAGCGCTTACCGGCGTCGGCGTCGGCAACTCGTACTACGTTGGCCCTGCGTACGTCTCGATGAACTCCCCGCCTGCGGTTCGCGGACGCATGGTTGGCCTCCTCGAGACGGTTTACCAGGCCTTCGGCGTCGTCGGCTTCTGGATCTGCTACGGCACTAACCGTAATATCTCACCTTTGTCCGACGCGCAGTGGCGCATCCCCGTCGGCCTCCAGTTCATCCCCGGCGTCCTGCTCGCCGTGCTCATGGCTACACAGCCCGAGGCGCCTCGCTGGTCCATTGCAAATGGTAAACGTGAACAGGGAATCCGCGACTTATGCTATCTACGCAACCTCACGCCTGATCACCCGTACATCGCCTTTGAGATCCAGCAGATCGACGAGCAGCTCGCCTCTGAGCGCGCCGGCGCCGGCTCCTCCAAATTTACAGATAAGCTCCGGGAGGCGTTCGGAAAGCGGAACCGCAGCCGTCTTGCCATCGGTCTTGCCATGATGCTCTTCCAGAACCTGAGCGGGATCAATGCCCTGAGTGCGTCTCCGTCGGTCGGTCGATCGATCGAAAACATGTGGCACATCATACGCCTCCATTGATGCTGACCGTTTCGCCTCGTTTTCGTTTGCTTTCCCGCACAGACTACTACAGCGCGACACTCATCGGCAACATTGGCTTCAAAGGAACGGACGTCTCGCTACTCGCGACTGGAGTGTATGGTCTCGAGAAGGCGCTCATAACCCTGATCTTCATGACCTTTTTCGTCGACTCAGTCGGCCGCCGAAAGGCGCTCATCTTAGGCTCGATCGGCGCAGCGACTGGCATGCTGTACCTTGGCATATACACCAACGTTGCCGACACGTTCAACTCCACGCCCCCACGCGACGCAGGCGCCATCTTTGGCCTCGTCGCGTTCTATTGGTACACGCTGCACTATGCCTACTCGTGGAACGGCATCCCGTTTATGTTCTGCGCAGAGGTTTTCGGCAACAACATCCGCATGCTGTGCATGACCATGACGACGTGCATGCAGTGGATCGCGCAGTTCATGATCGTCTATAGCCTGCCGTACATGGTCGTCTCGATCAAGTCTTACACGTTTATCTTTTTCGGCGTCTGCACGCTTGCCGCTTGTGCCTTCACGTACCTCTTTGTTCCTGAGACCAAGGTGAGCACGAGCGCCCGTCTGCCGTGCTCGTAAGATACTTACCCAACTCTGCTTGGTCTTGTGCAGGGTGTCGTCCTTGAAGACATGGATGTGCTCTTTAACGCCAGGGGCCTCGCTCCACACCAGATGAAGGCCTTCCACCAGATTATGTCCACGCGCGCGCATGACACAGTCGTCGCACAAGGCGTTACAACCGTCACAAACAACGAGGCGAGGCACCTGCACTCGGACGATACCAGCGGCGGCGACAAATCCAAACACGACGGCGGTGAAGTCCGCTACGACACATCCAGCCCATGAGCGCATTGATTCCCTGCTCCCTCTTTAGTTATTGACACAGAATCTCGCGTTGCCGATCATGTACAGTATTATCCACGTAAAAAAGTGATGGAGAGCCAATAAGAAGCTCGGTGCCAGCATATACTGTGCCGGATAGTTTTGACGCCTGGTTCTCGAAGTGCAGGAAGCTGCAGCAAGCGTGATCACACCCGCTGAGAACTTAACAACAGGAATCACTTCTTTCAAGCCATGCAACGCTTTGTGACGGAATAATAGGCGAGCCTATGATACGTGATTAGTATGCCGCTTTGTCATGCGGATTCGGCCGAAAAACATTGTGTCTCGCGATTGCAATGCCAATTATGTACTGGGTAAGACGCTCACAGGCAGGAACGTCCAGGTAGCTTCGTCGCTTGCTTGGAAGGCTTATCGATATACGTAAACTTGGCAAATATGCTATTGTGGCCGAAGTCTTGACCACGCTAACCAGATGATTAAACCGGAGCGGCCTGCCGTCGATGAGGAGTCTCACCCTTGCGTACGATGGTCGAATGCTCGTAGGTGGTCGATGAAATGAAATTTAATGGGCGACACGCTGGCCGAGTCCGGTAACGTAATACATGACGCGCGGGATAATGGCCTTGATGTGGCTTGGGAATGAAAAGAGGACAGCGTGCCAGAAAAGGAATGAAAGGAGGCTGATGATGGAGACTGCACGCGGCAAGTGCCGTTGCAGCAGTCAGCTGATGCTCTGATTCGCTCGAGCAGCGGACGATGGGACGCACTCAACAAAACTTTCTCCCATGGTTCCAGCATACCCTGGTCAAGTCGAAGCATCAAAGCCGCGATTTGTCGGCTAGCCGGACATAAGGCATCTACATCCATGAGACCATCGTAGCAACTTACCGAAGAGCTATTCCCTTCCCACGTCAGCCACCACGACCAGAAGCTATCTCCGATTGTCCAGTGATGCCGATGTACCTTCCTGCTTTTGGCACGCTCTGCGGGTACTACTGCTGCTGCTTTTGCTGCCGTCGCCTGTAATGATGGGAGTGATGAGTTTGCTGCTGCGGTAGCCATCTCTTGTAGGATTCCCGGGAGCCACTATTGTCGCTGGCAGTGCGAGGGCTGGTCGAGTATCGCAAGGAGTTGGGAGGCGGAGAAAAAGGACCTGCTTGGAAGTTGAACGGAAGCAAGCACCCCAAGGCATCCAGGTCAACAAAGAAACAAGATGATGGCGAATGAGCTCATCACAGCGGGCGATGCCACGGCCACTTGGGCTTTTTGCTAGCTGGCTGGCTGGTGGCTGCGCCTGCTACAGTGCCCGCTGATGCCGTGGAAGTGTTAATATAGAACGGCAGGTTGGTCAGATGGCAGTGCTGCAGTGCTGCACAGGCTGCCGAAATGTATGTATGTACGATACGAGTATATCCACACGGCGAATATGTTGTACTTGGACTTCATTGAAATCATTCAATTGCACCGAAGGCATCGAGTGCAAATCTGTCGCGGCACCACGATTTCTTTTCCAATTTGGCTGCAGTTGTTTTAGTGCTGGCTAAAAGAAAGAATGCGGCATTTGGCGTTAGCGCCAGGGCGGATGCTTGTCCCTTATCTCTTCATCGCATTGCATCCTCACCAGCATGACACCTTGCTCGCCAATGAAGCGGCCTCTGAGGCACCTGCACAAAGAAAACAGCATTATTATAAACATTTACTATTGACTTGTGTCGAAGTGCTATTGCAAGGGGGCCGTCTCTATGTGCTTGTCTCGTCCAAAAAATTAGCGCTATCTAAACCCTTGCCACGTATGCAGACATGGCTCTAGCATCGTCTCCAACACTTACTCGCGAAAACATGATCCATTCACCTGCCGATGAAGGAGGATCTGCGCTGCAGGCGCTAGAAAAATAGCTGCAAAGATACCAAAAAAGTTGGCGATCGACCTTTGACGGGTGTGGGTGCAGGAGAGGAAGACCCTGCGCAGGAGCCCAACGAGACTGACGCAGTCATTCTACGCTCGAACTTGGCCGATTATGAGCTTGATTTAGAAGAACTCATTCTCTCTCAACACCTTCATGGCTTTCCGGACAGGGCGCAAAAGGTGGAAGAGTTAGCACAAACCAGTCCAGGCCCCACCGTTGAAACAGACGTGTATTCCCCGTCACCGCACGAGCGGGACATCATCGTGCGCGACTTTCCACCCATTGAGACCTGGCTAGGGTGAGTTCCTCTTTTGTCGTGCGGTGATGGCGTATGCTAATCTAGAATGCGAACTTGATACTGTAGCATCCTGCGAAGATTGCTCTCGTATCACAGCTCCATCGACTTTCCCATCGAAGACCTGTCACAACTACAGATGGATCGGGAGCGCGCGTTTGAAGGAAGAATAATGTCTGATGAAGATTACTTTCGGTTCAAGCCGACCATCTAACCGAAACGGCCCAGTCACGGTGGTTCTCTCCAAAGGAAGCCAAAGAAATCCGCGCAGCGCGACGAGGGTATGCCGGATGAGGGATTCCAGCTGACCCCTCGTCTCGCACTGCCCTCTGTCGCACCATATAGTCTATTTCTGACCGGGACGACCAGCTCGCCGGCCCATACGCGGCTTCCCCATCCCCTTCATCTGACATTCTTAAGCGACTGCCCAGTATCAGCAGCTTGCAGCAAACCATGTTTGTTTTTTTCTACGTTCTCTTCCTCACCCAGCTCGCGATCACCAGCTGGACTTTCAAGCCTTCGCGGACCAGTAACCGTTGCAACACAGCCGTCTGGTGGACCGCACATCACGCCCCCTTTACAACCTCCCACACTCGCAGCTATGATGTCGGGCAGTCCGGAACCAGCTTTTCTAGCATACGGTCGGCGGCAAAGTAGCACAGCCTCAATCAGCAGTGTCGGCGGTGCTGGCTCACTCAGCACAAGTATTGGTAATCCGCGAATCAGACTGAGCAATCTAAACGCAGAGCGACTGAGCCCCTCTCCAGGCTATGCTGGAGATGCTAATCCGTCATCACCAGCGCGGTCCCATGTACCCTTGCGACCAGCTCCTGCGATGGTGCCGAGCTATGATTCCTTCAGTCCTTCGACGCCCTCGCCCTTGGCGCAGCAGCTTTCCATGCAAGGTGATGCTGAGAGCTCATCCCTTCGCAGAGGATTCCGGCACCCTCCGAGCACAGGCAGTGCTACAGGGTTGATCGGTCGACAACCGCTGTCACACGCTTCAAAGCTCCCTATGGGCGAGTTTCCAAGCCTACGAGTCGTTTTTTCTGACTACCCTTCCTCTTCACGCACCTCAGCCTCGATCAACAATCCCGGAAAGACTGCTTCATGTATCCTGTCAGCACCTGCATCCGTTCCTGGTGCTTCCTCGAACATGCCCATTCCAACCGTCGGTCCTCGCGCCATCCTGAGGACTCCTTCGATTCCGCCAACCTTCGAAGCGATCGGCGAGCGCCTGACCCGAGTCGCGCGTTGAAAAGAGTACCTCCGCGACGGTGATAGATCTGAGGCGTCGTTCAGGCAAGCACGGCTATGCCTTCTCCATTTCCACCTCGTCCGGGATTGGTATGTTTTGCTGTTTTCGCTTGCCAGCAACGGTCCGATTGACAATTGATGCAAGTGCCATGGCAACCGCGGCGAACAGTGCGTGCTCAAGGAGAAACAGCGACCATTTTGAGCGGCAAGTCGTAAGGTTGGCTTCGATTTGACAGCTCACAATATCCCCAAAGGTGTCACTGCCGTGCACATACATTGCGAAGCTGTGCACACCGAGAGAGGGGCCCAACCTAGCAGGGGCGTCAACGCACCGATGCATGTGCAAACCCGGTGTCGAGGCATGGGCGTCTTTCGGATGGGCGAGCTAGGCGCACGCGGCTATGAGCATGACCACCTTTGATCTTTCGGATCCGCAGGCCGATCTGTGCAAGCACTTTGGCTTAGACCCCGAGTCCATCGCCAGACGGGCAGGCGTGTTCTTGGACGAGCGTAGCGCTCCCGATGGTTTCTCTCTTCGCACTCCCGCCTGGGGCGAGCTCACTGAGCTCCCCGTTAACCCCTAGGCCAGCGCTCTGTCACTTGAACTCTACTTGCACCGCTTCTGCACTGTCCATGTCATTGGTGAGCCGTGGCTGAAGGCAAGCTCGTTGTCGGTGGCGAAACGTACGAGCGGATGGCGCCAAGCTTGACAAGGCGAACCCGACAATGTGAGCAAGGGGCAACGGCTCTGAGACAAAGGGAACCGAGACCATGGCATCGAGACACGGACCAAGGATAGCGAACGGCAGACCACAAATGTGGGCTCGTTTCTAGATTACTTGCATTGGCTGCGATGATACTCCATGCGAGGTCCAGTCGTGCCGGCGGGGCTCATGTGCTCGGCTTGCATTGGTTTAGTGGCTGTGCAGCTAGCGCCGTGGCCTCTGATTGGTACCTGCTGACTAAGGTGTCGTGCTCGCCTGGGCGCGTCTGCGCTGAAGAATCGAATTGAGAATAGATACGCAGAGGCCGCTCAGCGCAACAACGACAATTACGGTGCCCGTTGCAGGCATCTAAACTTGAGTCAGCTCCGGGTTCGTCTTCGCGATCAACGGCTGGTCGTGGGGCCTCACCTTTCAAGTCGAACTTTCCGTACGTAGTTAAGTGGACCTGAGGGTGAATTCAGACGGGATCAAAAAGGCGTAGCATTCATTCGATGCAAGGGCCAAGAGTGGCACGAAGCACATCTTATAAACACGAACACACAGTTTGTCCTGCCATAGACACTACCAACTTGACAACCTGTGATCATGAGGTCGAACGGGTCTAAACTTTAATTCCGTGTAGCCGTGATCTTTGCTCTCTCATCTAAAATCAGCAGGCTATGTATAAAGCGAGTAATAGTATTACGTGGTCATTGGTGTCGGTGACCACTTGTTTTCACCCGCCACTGCGCCACGCGCGGCGGTGCCGGACCTTGGCGCAATGGATAATGAATAGGGGGCCCGTTTGCACGCTCGCCATGTATGTGTGCTTCTTGACAAGTGGACGTGGGCCACATTACTTCGGACGAGTATGTCTTCGCGTGTACCAGTATGTACTCGTTATGTCCGAGGTGCGCGAAAGTCTCGCAAAATCTTTTCTCGAATTTTGATCACGGACCTGGGTCACACGTTGATTTCATATGTTGAAGAAGAAAAGGGAAGAAAAGAAACAAAAAAAAAGAATTAAACTTAGGACATATAGGCTATGCTACGGCCTGCGCCGCTCAAAGGCAAAATGTGGGATAGCAGAACGTGCACAGAGCGCCGCAGTTGCCAATATAGATGCAGGTACGGTGCACCCATTCGCCGCCCGGCACCTCTGTGCAGGAGCGCGAAACACGCGTTTTGGCGCTTAGTGAGGCTAGCGAGTTTACCCTTGTTGATGCGATCCTCCTGGGCTCGACTGAGTTCCTCCGATAGAAAAGCCACGGTGACGTTGCTTGGGTAGACTTGACTTTGTGGCGACCAGCTGTGGGCTCCATGAATGTCATATTTGAGTGCGCGTGATTCAGGGCACGGACCGCTTCGAGTGAAGTGATCTCTGGAGCATTTTCGTGACCGACCTTCAGGCTTGCCTGGACGGATGCCAGTAATGGGATTATGGCGATTAGGTGAGAGAGAGGGGTACGCATGCTGCTATGTATCTGACAAGACAATGGTGCGTTAACAATCCCCAGAAACCCCCAGAAAAGACATACAGGTGAGCACGTATCTCACATGTTGATTCACTCTGCAGTTGTGTTGCTTGGACTGATCGCTGCTCTGGACTTGCTTGAGTATTTGACAAGGGCGGGCGTGGATCTGTGCGCCTTATATGCGTCCAATGTGTCGAAGGGGCCATACGGGGGACAGAATTCCTCATCAAGACAGCAGGACG